TATAAGAGGAATAATATTTTATAAGTATTGAAACTGAATAAGTTTATAACTGTTTATAAGAGGAATAATATTTTATAAGTATTGAAAATGAATAAATTTCGGGTGGTGTAGCTTACACAGGGCATAGACAGCTGTTAAATTAGACCTTTTAACGTATCAGCTTTTATGTATTGTGCATAGAAGTAACTTTTCTATATGTTTAGGGAATCATTCAAAGCATCATTAAAATATATGCGAGACAAAAAGAGGAGCCAAATGTCACTGTCGTAACACCCTAATATATTTTTATTAAACAAGCCATTAAATTATAAGCATTTCTGTATCATTTTCGATTCGAATCCACGTGATCGCGTGCGATTGTAAAAAATCAAGAGGAAGTACCTCGATATATCGGTATATTCACACAAAGTGCGCATGATGTTATAAGAATATAGACCCACTCACAGGTCATGGGAAGAATCGTAAATCCGATCGAGCTGCTCGTGAGCAAATCGACGACTCATCATAACACAAATTTTCCCATCCGATTTCATATTTATTTTGTCTATACAGAGTGAGAGAGAGAGAGAAAAAGTATAATTTGCGGAGGCGCAATCGATTCTTTGGAATATTGGACTTAAGTGACAATTGCGAACCGATAAACGTTGTATTCTTAGACATAAGCGAAGTCGCGATATATTTATCATTCAGCCAAGCTCTCGACTACGATTGCGCAATCGCAGGCCAGCTTCTATGGCCAATGCGTCAAACGCCTTTTCGTATGAATATATATACCGGTACGGCGCACGCACATCCAAATGCAAACCCTCCTCCTTCTCTCGCTCGACGTGCGAATGACATTAATTTTCGCGACACAAACTCGTATAATATACACGCGCATACGTGTAATTGTTCTCGCCGCCTCGTCGCGCGATGTCGTAATATAGTTTAGCCCGCTGCTGCTGCTGCTGGGGCTGTGGACTTTTTCTGTATCGCTCACGCGCCGCACGCAAAACGTGCACTCGTATATGTCACCGCCGTTCTGCTATCACCGTTGCTGCTGCTGTCCTTTGCTCCAAATCGGCTTTTCCGCGTCTTGGCACTTGTTGTCTCGTTCGCTCTCTCTCTCGCGCGCCAGTTGAAAAGGACAAAATTGTTGGTGCGCGTGAGTTGCACAACGCGCACGCGTCTATTGGTACAGCAGACACGCACGCACACAGTACAGACCCGATTCGATCTCTTGACTCTTTCGAATCGACTTGTCTCTACCGCGTGCGGTGCGTGGCACTATAAGGTAACGCGACACACGTCGTAATCTCCCAGCGCGAAAATATAAAGCCGGCATTTCTTTTCTTTTTTTTTTCTGTGCGCTCGAGGGCGCGGCTATATAATACACAAACACCCGACTTTGTCTGTGTAAGAGATGTTTATAACGGAACGGAGGGCCTCGCGAAGACGAGCCGCTGCTGCTGTAAGCTAAGCCTATCGGCTGCTGATAATCTCCTGAAGATATACAGTTGCACGCGACTGCAGTGTGTGCGTGGATATGTGTGTGTGTGTGTACGTGTGTATACGCGCGTGTTGCAACGATAAAATGTATGAATTATTGCGCTGGGAGCACATTAGACACTTATACACTTACACACACCATGAACCACTGCTGGTCCATTGAAAATTTACTCCTTTCCATGTATACTGCCTGCTATTGAAAGATTTTCCGATTTTTCAAAAATATCTCCAACACGCCCAGATATATCAAATTTCCGGCGTGAGAGATATGAAGACGCGTGTTATAGCACCTCGTGTCTGTAAAAATCAGCTTTTCGCGCTGAATTTTGAAAATATTACTGTCGGCAAAAGCCTCTGTAAATTTGTCTGCGAGAATACCGATTAGCGCAAGCTCGCCTCGGCATCCAATGAATTCGTTAATTTGCCGTCTAGCACCATATACCAACGACTATCACTCACGTTCGCAGCCAAAATAAAGAGTTTCTACAATATTACAGAGCGCGTATACATATCGCGCGCGTTGCAATTACCTTCGAGTCTTTCGCTAAAGCGTACAACAGCGGCAACAACAAACCCAACACTTATTATAAAGCGCCGCGTTGAACCTGAACTTGAAAGTTACAATAAGGCATACGGAATAATCTTCTTTCAAGGCGTTCTCTCTCTCGCTATTTCTGAGTCGCTCGCGGTGTCTTATATAGGTCATAAACACATGCACGCAATCATACGTGAGTTATTTTCGCATGAAGATATCATACGCGCGTGCACACAGCTGCACACATGCACCCACTTGTAATCGCTTGCGCACTCACGCATTTATGCAGCGCTCGAGCAATGTCATCCCGCAACTGAGATGAGCAATGCAAAGTATGCACAACAGCGAAGAGAGCAAAGAAGAGAGAGACAGAGAGACAAGTTATACGATGGTACTTTATTATATGCTCACGTTGTTGGCACGCGACTCTTTGCGCTCCCGCAATGCTGATGCTCGCTCCCCATAAAGCAAAGTGCGCCAACGGTATACACGTATTATACCCACATGTACACGTCGGTGTGTATGTGTATGTGCACCTACCAAATGTACATGCATAATGTGCTATACAAGAGAAGAACAACATTCAAGAGTTGAAGAGGTAGCTCGCGATCGTCGAGGAGCAGCTCGACTCGCGCATCTCGTGCTGATATGACTAATCTGAACACACATCTTTATACATATAAATATATATGCAGCGTCTATGCGCGCCCGCTCCTGCTGCACTCGCAAGACTGGAACGACGCAGAGCTGCGGGATCAAGTTTTAGATTTATGAAACTTAGTCCGGGCGCTGGTGACATTTGAGTGGACTTACGAGATCCCCTCGGCGAGTTGACGGATTTCTATGTGTTTTGGGTCGCTGAAACCGAATTTGAAGGTCGCCAGGCCGAAATCCTGGTCAATTTTTTTTTATAAACAAATTAATTGTTTAAACAGCCATATCTTGAAAAATATTGAAGATAGATTAAAACAATTTGTTTTTATTTTATTCGTCTTTGAAAAACAAAGAAATTCCATTAAATTAATTGAAAATCCGTCCACTAGAAAAAAAGTTATGCAATAATTAGTGTAAAATACGTCTTTTTTCACCTTTCAACCTCTGTAACTTTGCTCGTATTAGTGCGATCGAGCTCCTGGACGTCTCATTTTAAAGGTAATAACCTACAGAATGATGTAACATAATTTTTATGTAGGTAAAATTGTTTATAATGCAATCTGTAGACGTGTATAAACGTAATTTTATGGCTCTGACGTACTTTCCATTTGTTTATACGCGTTTTTTGCTGAGATAAATTATTAAAACAACGTGGTAACTTAGTTCAAATGAAAGTACATCAAAAAACAAAAATTTTAAGGGGTTTAGGAAGAAAATCGGTCCAGTAGATGCCAAGTTACAGCCTTCTGAACTAGCGCGTAGAAACCAGCGAGCGCTTAGGGCGTGCACACTGAGGCAACATGAACTCATGAACCAAGCTCAGACTTGTTTGTAACTTGGCATCTACTAGACCGATTTCCTTTCTAAACCCCTTAAAATTTTTGTTTTTTGATGTACTTTCATTTGAACTAAGTTACCACGTTGTTTTAATAATTTATCTCAGCAAAAAACGCGTATAAACAAATGGAAAGTACGTCAGAGCCATAAAATTACGTTTATACACGTCTACAGATTGCATTATAAACAATTTTACCTACATAAAAATTATGTTACATCATTCTGTAGGTTATTACCTTTAAAATGAGACGTCCAGGAGCTCGATCGCACTAATACGAGCAAAGTTACAGAGGTTGAAAGGTGAAAAAAGACGTATTTTACACTAATTATTGCATAACTTTTTTTCTAGTGGACGGATTTTCAATTAATTTAATGGAATTTCTTTGTTTTTCAAAGACGAATAAAATAAAAACAAATTGTTTTAATCTATCTTCAATATTTTTCAAGATATGGCTGTTTAAACAATTAATTTGTTTATAAAAAAAAATTGACCAGGATTTCGGCCTGGCGACCTTCAAATTCGGTTTCAGCGACCCAAAAAACATAGAAATCCGTCAACTCGCCGAGGGGATCTCGTAAGTCCACTCAAATGTCACCAGCGCCCGGACTAACTGCAACGCCGACCGCGCGCAGTGGCCCTCGGAGAATGAAACGTTTGTTTTATTTTAATGCAGCCCGGCGCAAGCTCGCGCGCACTTGAAATTATATTTATAATTTTGTTGCGGCAACGAGTCGCGATTTTTAGAAAGTTAATTTATACCGATTAAGTTCTATATTTTCCGCGTGTACACGCGTACGCGCTACCCATTGCAAAGATGAGGAAGCTTCGGATGTTCGTGGCGAATCGAATAAGGACGCGCATGACGATTCGACTTATTCATGTACGTCGACGCAAAAATTCGATAAAGTAAGACACTGTACGTGTCGTCAACAACGAGCAGGTGATAAATAATACTCATTGTTGGATAATGTGCTATGTTTAGCAGTCGAAATACGTAATGAAATTATTATCGCGATGCTTTTTTATACTGGCGCAATTATGCTCCCATTTTTAAATTGTTGGCCAATTTTAACGTCAACTGTTAAAATTAATAAAAGATATGATAGCATCTTGTTAGTAAATGGATTATTTTAGACGGTGAATAGACCAATCTCAAGTTTTAAACATTAACCCCACCTAACATAAATTTCACGACTAAAACTTGCTTGTAAGAGTACAGGAGTCCCTCGTTGTACGCGGATTTATTATCCGCGGAATTCGTTATCCGCGGTTAGTCGATTTGCGCCCATCCCTTCGTATGCGTGGATCGAAGATCGAGATTTTTTTCTCGAACGTATCGAAGATCGAGATTTTTTTCTCGAACGTATCGAAGATCGAGATTTTTTTCTCGAACGTATCTATATTCAGTCTGAATTTGGTTAGTGTAGACGCGTCGAAATTGTCAATTTACCTAAATTTATTGAAAATGTATAAATTTATTTAAATATGGCTCCTTCTAAAAATCCGTCAAAAACTCCCTCGAAAACTCCATTAAAAACACCATGTAAACGCAACAGAAAAGTTTTGAATCTAGCAGACAAGATGAAAATTATAAGTTTGATCGATGACGGAGAAAAACTTGCTTGGATTGCACGGCGCTTCGACGTCAATGAATCTACCATTCAAACGATCCGAGATAATGCATCGAAAATCCGTGAGAGCTCAAAAAACTTAGGACAGCATGCTCAATTTACTAAAGTTGCTCGATCAAATTTGATTGAGAAAGTCGAGATGATGCTACTAATTTGGATACAAGACCTCATGCACAATAAAATTCCAATCAGCAGTGCAGCTATTCGTGACCAAGCAATAGTTTTTCATATCTACTTGTGCACAAAGTATGGAAAAGAAGAAGCTTTCAACGCCAGTAAAGGCTGGTTTGAAAATTTCAAAACGAGATTCTTACTTTACAACGTAAAATTCACCGGTAAGATCTCATCAACAAACTTTAAATCATATGTAATTTTACAAATATATATTTTGTATATTCTAGGCGAAATAGCAAGTGCGGATCATGAAGCAGCGCGTGAAAAAAAATATGAACCGGAGCAAATTTTCAATTGTGACGAGACTGGTTTGTTTTGGAAGCGAATGCCTAAACGAACTTGGTTGACCAAAGAAGAAGAGAGAGCTCCAGGTTTCAAAGTGGCTAAGGATCGTTTAACCCTTTTGTTTTGCGTAAATGCTTCAGGTGATATGAAGTGTAAACCTATGTTAGTGTAACGCTCTGAATCACCGCGAGCATTAAAAGGAAAAAGAAAGGAGCACCTACCCGTATATTGGAAAGCAAATAAAACTGCGTGGATCACAAAAATAAATTTTGATGAGTGGTTCAAGGAATCTTTTATACCGGAAGTCAGGGAATTCCTTGCCCAGAAAAATCTCGCCTTCAAAGTACTTTTGCTGCTCGATAATTGTAAAAGTCATAATCAATCCCTGCAGACTGCTCATCCAAACGTCGAGGTACTGTTCCTTCCCCCAATACGACTTCTTTGCTCCAACCATTAGATCAGACTGTAATAGCGACCTTTAAGCCATACTATTTACGACGCTTAATGAAATCAATTGTAAGAACAGTCAACTTACATCGGTCGCGCAACAACTTCATTCCTGAAAACGTTGTCAGGAATTTTTGGAGAAATTTCAATATTATGGATGCTATAAATTTTATTCAAGAAGCGTGGGATGAAGTCAAATCAACCACTGTTAATATGAGTTGGAAAAAAATTTTGCCACACATGTTTTCAACGGTTATCGACCGCTCGGAATTGTACCCGGAGGTGGTCCAAGATGTCGTAACCTTGACTCGGGATGTCGAAGGAGAAGGCTTTAATAACGTCGAAGAATCGGAAATTTTAAATCTCATATTGCCAGAACCACATTACTCCCCCGAAGAAATCGAAGAGTTATCGACTGAACCACCGGCAGATCAGACTGATGATGCACTTTTTCGATTCAAAATTGATTGTCGAAGTTATGGATCTAGTCATTCGAGCAGGTGAATTAGCAATGACTCATGATCCAATAATGACGCATAGTTCGACTTTCAAACACTACTGTAATTTGGCTGCACAAATTTATGAAGAAATGCATAAAGATATTTTGAGACCAGCGAAGCAGAAAAAAGTAACCGATTATTTTAAAAATTAAACATGTAATTGCATATGTGTTGTAAATATAAATAAACATATATTAATATAAATACATTAACATTAATAATACTCAACAAATACGTTTATTTCTAGGTAAAGTGTGCATATAAACTGTGCTTTCTCGAGGTCGAGGAACGTAACCCCCTCTTTCCCATAAGAGGAAGGTCTTATTATCCGCGGTTTTGTTATACGCGGTACTTTTGAGGAACGTAACCCCCGCGTATAACGAGGGACTCCTGTAGTCACCGCTAGGTGGCGTCGACGCGAATTGTCACTCGCGCATCAGAAAAAAACTAGCTCTAGGCATATAAGAGAGGCGATCTCCCGGCATAGAGGTATTCTAGCGAAAGCTGGTAGCAGGTGCATTGCTCGCTCAAGTTCCGCGGTTGAAGAAGACTTGTCTTCTAGCCCGCTGCGAAGCTCGAGAAGTTGTCGGTAGAACCAGACTTGTCTTCTAACTCGCTGACGGCTTCGAGAGTTGACTGTGAAAGGTGGAAACCCCTGGCTCGCGGTCATTTGAGGGGCGATGTGCTGTCTTCTACTAGCTGGCTATTTTCGGTGCAGACCCGCTTGCTGAAAGCAAGGTACGGCTGTGTTTGGACTCGGCGTGTCCGACGAACAATCTATAGAATTTAGATTGAGGACCGCGAGTATGACTTGATGGTAAAAGCGAGTTCTGAACTTAATATTATATTCTGATATACGACTTTATTCACACATTTATAGTAAATATTGTACCATACATTGACTATAGCTTGCTGATAAAATAAATACTATTTCTATTTTTTGTTAAATAAAATTCTTGTCAAGATCATTTAATCAATCCTCTCCACCACAGCAAATTCAGCAATTAGAAAAAGTTTTATTGTTTTTGACCTTTCACAATAAAAAACAATTACGAAATATCAGTTCGTACTCTTAAGAGAATTTACAAAAAATTGGGGGTTATTAGAAAGAATATTATTGAAAGTGACGTTGAAGTAATTGCTGGAGCTCTCATTGATAAAAAAAACAATTTCACTGTACCCTCACAGTTAATGTGTCCTTTCCAAGAGTTAGAATACATGTCGAGCGAATAATGCAAAGAATTCGGACCTACCAAATTTTGAACAAAATTCCAAAATATTTATTTAGCAATATTGACGATATCATACATATGTGTTGTGTATTGGTTAATCTGCAGCCTCCAATTATAGCAGATACTAGTTGAAACATAATTATAAACTTAAATTGTAGAACGAAATTGTCAATGTAAATAGTGAAACTAAATTGTCAATGTAAATTGTATCTTTTTCTAATAAATATCATTTTTGTACTGCAGGCAATTTATTGCATATATTTAATCCGGTGAAACGCCTATTATTTGCCGTTTTCACAGCACTTTTTTCTGTACTTATATCAGATTTTGCCAAGGCAGGCAAGTAATATTTAAAATAAAATTTCTGACACTTCAAAACTACTTTTTGGATAAAATCTTCATTTTTTCTGACTTGAACGCAGTAACTTCCATAAGGCGAATATGTGTATAAATCACAGATATTGAAGCCAGACAAATACATCTGTATCTGGCATTGCGTTTAATGCTTATATGTTTCTTTTAAACAAATATTGCTACATTTTTTAGTCAAGTAATCTACATTAATTTTATTTTCAGTTATTACTGAGAGTCTATTTTTAGCACATTTATGTGAACATTTAAATTCAACAATGTGAGTAGGTACACCATCTTTGTAGACTACCCCATCCAAACTGGCACAAAGCCAGGGTTGATTTGGGCTCACCAGCACACCAACTTCTTGAACACTACACTTATAAGTTATTTCATATTCTTTTCTTGCTGTCCCTTCATATCGAGTCCCATATCTCATGCTTACTGTGTTTAAGGTTTTTGGCTCCAGCATGTCTTTGATGAGGTCTTCTGTTGATTTTGATGATTGAGTTTTAATGCTGTGAACGTTACTGCTTCCAGACAATCTAACTTTTCTGGCTAAATACCATAGATGGTTTGATGACTGATCAGTGGTCGTACAGCAAAGCTCTATAACATCTTTCTCATTAATTACAATATTACTTTATAAATCAAAAGTGGTTCTATGTAACGTCAGTTAATAGACATTTTTATAAATTAAATTGTGCTAATATACTTGAGTCTAATCTAAAAATTAGTTAGTACTTGTACATTCAATTGAAAACTAGTCAATGAGCTTTCTGCATCCTCTTGTGAGTTATCCTGGGAATGGAGTAGATTGTACCATTTCTTGTGTAGACTCTCATCTTTAGTAGGACCGTACCAGTGAGAACTTGCATTTTTTTGGAAAGCCTGTAATGAGCGATTCGAAAAATTCTGAAAAAATTCACCGATTCTTTGAAAATTTTCAAAACTTTTGATCTGTGCATTTTTTGTTTAAGCCTTCCTATCTTGATAAAGAAAATCTCAGAGATTTTTAAATAAAATAGAAAACCCTTTTTAAAATGGGCCCTAAGGCCCATTCAATAAAACTAAACATAGGGTGCTTTATTATTAGGTTCCTGAAGACCCCAAAAAATTGTTGGTAAAGATCCGTGACCCAAAGGTGAGAAGGTCTCCTTGTAAGTTCCAACATGATCACATTTTGAAATAAATGTATTTTTCGATTCAGTCTCTCATTTATACTTTCCAACTAATTGTAAATTTCAGTAACGAGTGCTGCTGATGTGGCTTTGACTCATACTACTTCAGTTTTCAAACGGATTTGACGTATTTAAAAAAAATTAAATTGAATTTATTTATATATGGGGAAACGCTCCCAAATAAACGATTGAATTAATAAATTATTAAATTAGCAATTAAAGATGCTTACACAAGCATTGAAAGAAATGTCAAACTGCAGGCCAGTAATCTTAGTGACGCAACAAAAAAATAACAAAACAATCAAATATACTTGTTCTTACGTAGACATTTTCGTGTTATCATTTTAAACGTGTCAAATCGACGAAAAAAATCGTTCTTTCTCACAATTCAGATGCGATACCACTCGGGCGCTATACTATAAATTCAAAATTCAAAATTCGAATATTGTTCAGTCTTCTTTGATCGCGTTAAAATGCGTTTGACCGTTTTTATATCAGTAATTTACACGATATCGTTGGTTGGCGCAAACCCTCTCGATAGCAATTATGAATCGTTGAACAGAACGCGACGCGAAATTGGTGTAGATTGCAGTGAACTTTGCTGTCCAGGTGCGTCTTACGAGAGCTGTGATTGTGACAACGATTGTGAAGCATCTATTGATTGTGACGATGACGACGATTCGTCTGTGCCTAACTCGGATGTAAAAACGACGACTACAGAAAAAACAAGCTCAACTACTGCCAAGACTAATATCGATAAAAATTCCGAAAAGGTTTTAATTTGATCCAGGACGTTGTTAATTTTTGGAAAAACCATAAAAGGCCAACATCAAGTCCTTCATCAACGACAGTAAAACCAAAAACAACGACTTCATCGCATACTGAAAAAGGTGATGATATCAAGAAAACAACGCCAGGCCCATCGACTTCGACATCAAAGCCTGAAACAACTACAACGGCTTCTGAAAAAGATACGAGTGGTTTTCTAGAAGAATTATATAAAAAGCTTGATAGATTATGGAAACTCCTCCAATTATTGAAAGAAAATGAAGAGATTAAGTAATGAAACATATTCTAAGCAATATTTCAGTGTTAAAGCGATTTTTTGCGTAGTGCGCAAAATGTAGAATACTTTTTTGCATGAATAACTAATGTAATAGCCCATTGTATCAATAAAAAAGTAAATGCAAATATCTTCTGTTCAAAACTGTAATATTAACTATTTCAGTAACATAATTTAAATGTGTAAACATTGAAACAAAATGAACTATATCACTAAAATTGACGATCAAAACATTTCCGTATTACCCCAATACATGAGTAGCTCTCTTAAAAAAAAAATTTCATCTGGCTTACGAGTTATCGATTTATTACGAAAAATCTGCGACGTTTGTAATCTCGCTTGTAAATTGATGTATAAAAAGGATAAAAAAAAAGACAAAATAACAGAGACGCGAGAGAAACGAGTTTACTTCGCGCTGATGAATGGCAAGCCTGAAGAATTAGTCGAGCAAGACGCAGGCGCTAAAACCGGTGAAGTTGCGTCTTTTACCGCGATCGCTCTCGCTCCCGTACTACGTATATACATCAGCACGGGCTCCGTCGCGCGCCCAACTTTCTTGAAACGAATAAAGAAAGGATACGACGATTTCATCAAATGCGCAAGACGATTATAACGAAATCCTACTGACACTGTAAAATCGCTGCGTTGGCTACAGGCTTCTTCTGTATAGCTGCTGTCAGATATGGCACTGTTTTTCCGCAAAAAAAAATCGAAACGACGACAGCCACTTGGTGAACGCTCGGTTAATTGTTCATCCTACCGATCGATGGAAAGAAGTATAAAAAAAAAGAGTAATAATAATCATAAAAATAGGTTTCGCATTGGATACTTTTTTTCAACGTCGTAATCGCAACGTCATTTTGTGTATGAAATCATAGTCGGCCGATATACACTCGCTTCTGGGAATAGAATTTCATGCGTTTGCGCTCGCCGCCGTAAAAGAAAAAAAGCAGGCAAAAATAAAAACGAAAATCCACTGGCGCACCACTGGCATAATTATTTTATTTCCTGCACGCGTAATTTCACGCTTACACGTATACGCGTGCAATGCTGCTACACGCGCGAACTGATGAAATTTGCGAGCGGTCGACTTTTTAGGCCGCGCTCGAGGTATGCGAGAGGATTTCTCGACTTTACACGCGCTATATATGCAACGTATACGCGTGCATATTAAACGCGAGACTTTTGCGCATCCATCCGTCCGGATAAGGATCTGTGTTGCTCGTGGAAAGACAAGCTGCAGCCGCAGTAAAACGACGACGAACTTCGGACGAATTTATTATAACACGTCTTGCCGCAACCGCATAGCCTAGAAGTTGTGATACATTTATACACGTCTTCTCTTATCATGTATGAGCCATACAGCCAAATAGTATTAGCAGGGCTTCTTCGCACCTTAATAAGCGCGTTTTTTTCAGAGTCGA